AAAAAAAAAAAAAAAAAAAAAAGAGTTCAAATGATTCACCCACATGGGATGGAGCCAGGGAAGGGTCTAGAAAGGAGGGCCACAGCAGTAGACCCTGACTGATTCCTCACTTGTGCCCTTGGAGCCACTATGAACTGTATGCACCACAGCCAGGGGCAGAGTCCCTCCTACCTGCCACGTGTGTGCTTGCTCCACGCCCCCAGCACCCGTCAGACTAACAACCTCTATAGGGCAAGGGCCATCTCGCTTCCCTTTGGTGCTGTCAGAGCTTAATGCATGCACAGTAGAACCCGAATAAACATCTATTAAATAGGACTTCAGGCAGTGTCCCAGAGGGTGGGAGGGCAGGTGGCTCGACACCAGAGCCACGCTAGAGCAGGCAGCAAGCTCCCCCTTCCTACCACCTGCACCCAGCAGCTGCACCAATGCCTCCTCGTTCCGACTCCTTCGCGTGTGGGCCCTGGCCCACACCTGCCTTTCCAGCCCAGCCCGGCTCCCAGGAAGAACGATGTGTCCCGGCAGTTGAACTGGTCCACTCGCCACTCCCTGAGCACACCTTGAGGCTCCCTGCCTCCAGGCCCTCGTCATACCTTTCCCAATCTGTGCCACTGAAAACCCAGGTCACGCCATCTCCTCCAGGCAGACTCACCTAGTGTGCTCCGCTGGCTGGGCTGGCTGGGCTGGCTTCCTCTTCTAACCAAACAGGGGCTCCGCTAAGGCTGTACCCCGCTTTGTATTGTGGTCAGCTAAGCCTCCCCTTTGTGAGGATGAGAGTGTCTCTTAAAGTTCTATGGCCTGCATAAAAGGAGAGGGAGAAATATAAGGGTGTAATTCAAGTCGGAGCTGAATTAAAGACTGAATTAAGACTAGTTTGGGTTTGGAATTAGAATTAGGAAAGGGTCCGTGAATTCCCAAGACCACCCACTAGGCGGCGCTCGCAATTTCATTCCGGTGAAGACGCCTCCGGCTTTTGAAGTTTATATTACCTGTCTAACAAGTTTCCTTCCTGCCCTACTGTGTCTTTAAGAAGGTGAACCAGGTGAGACCAGGACTCCGCCCCCGGCGCTGACCCCGCCCCCCACCCCCGCCTGGGAAGCCCGGCTCCTCCCAGTCCCTGCAGACCTGGCCAGCAGTCCGGGCCGCGGTCCCAGGTCCCGGCCGGCGCCATGGAGCGGCGCTGGCCCCTGGGGCTCGGGCTGCTGCTGCGGCTCTGCGCCCCGCTGCCCCCGGGGTCGCACGCCAAGGAAGGTACCGATCCCCGCCCTCGCGCCTCTCGCCCCCTCCCCCGGCCGGCACCCTGCTGCGGGGGCCGGCATTCCTGAGCTGGCCCTCCCCGCGTCCTCTCCTGCTCCCTGCTGCTGCCCCAGCCGCCGGCCGTCGACCGGCCAGGCCAGCCTTTGGTCTTTAACCCCAGACCTCTGCGCTCCTGGGTCAGTCACTCCAGCCCTGCTGGCCTGAAGATTGCGCCAGTGGGTGGGCAGGGAGCTCCTGGCCACTGCCGGGAAGCACGTCTATACCCCAGTCTGGGCCAGCGGGGACCCTTCGTTCGCGGGCAGTCCCAGCCACAGGTGCCCAGGCAGAGGTCTCGGCCTTCTGAAGTGGAAGGTGGGAGACTTCTGCTGCCAGCCTGGGCCAGGCACAGAGGGACCTGCTGAAGAAGGGGTAGGGCTCGCTGCTGGGATCCCTGATGCAGGATCCGGCCTAACCGTGAAGGCCTGCACACCCTCTCCTACCCCCCTGCCCTCCTGCCCTAGCTTTCCAGACTTGGGCTGGACCTCGTACCTCCTGTTCCTGTCCCCACTGACAGGCCAGAGCAGGCCCTGGGACAGTGGAGGACACCCGCTCCCTGAGGGCCCCATTCCTGCAGCCCCACTCAGGACCCAGAGGCGAGCACCTCCTTGCGTCCATTCCAATTCTGCAGCTGGTGGGTGCTCTGGCCACGCTGTCCTGGGAGACGGGCTGGGGGCACATCCTGTGGGCTGCCCATCCCCAAGCTTCGTGCACTGCCTTTAGGCAAAGACCCCACACTCCAACCCGTGGCCCACTCTGCCTTCCTCCCTTGACACTCTGAAGGAAGACAGCCATCCCTGGCATGGCAGGTCACTTCTTCCAGGGCCCTTTCCCTCCCCTAAACTTCAGGAAATCCCAGCTGTTAGGGACAGGATGTTGAAACCCGGGCCTGGAGCCCCAGAAGGAGGATATGTGGGTTGCAGGACACCTCCTCCCTAGAGGTGACGACCCCTTTTCTCCCCACCTGCAGTCACGCTGATGGACACAAGCTCAGCACTGGGGGAGCTGGGCTGGCTGCTGGACCCCCCAGAGGATGGGGTAAGTGTCAGGGGTAGGACCCAGGAAGGCTCAAGGCCCAAGGCCTGTGGGAAATGGGGCGGAGAGGTGGGTGGAGGAACAGAGAAAAGAGCAGGAAAAACTGGAAGTGTCTCTGCAGGGAGGGGGAGGGGAGGCTGAGTCAGAGCCTCTTGAATGGGACATGGGGGGGTCAGACTTCACCCCATGGAGAGTGCCTCAATGGCCTGGCACCTGGCCCTCCCTGCCCCAGTGAGGGAGGGGGAATGCTGGTGAGAGCCCACATCCCCAGGGAGAGAATGCCCCACGCTGGGGGTTCTCAGCCGGAAGCTTGGGAGGGCCAAAACACCGGAAAGCATCCGCAATCTGAGACCATTCATCCCCTGGGGCTGCATGGGTAGGTTGGGGGGGCAGGGAATCCCATGAACATCTATTCTGTACACGTTTGTATATGTATGTGGACTGTTTTTTGGTTTTGGTATTGGGTTTTTTTCTGGAGAAGGGAAACAAACTTTTCATCATATTCTTCATCGGGTCTTTGAGTCCCCCATATTAAAAGCTGCCCCCAGAGGTCCCTGAGCCCTTGGCACGTTCTGCAGACCTCCCAGGCAGGCTCCTTGCACACCAGGCAGTCCAGCTGTTGGAGGGTGTGCAGGCCTGCTTCAAGCCCTTCCCTCCTTGGGTGTCCTAAGACAGTAAGCAGAGGTGGGTTGTGGGGGAGTTCCTGTGAGCCCCCTTTCTGCCCTCCAGCTGAGCTGGCCATAGAACCACTGGAGACAGCCTGCAGGACATTGGTCCTGGGCCCCCGTTCTCTTGGTGTTCTGGGCTGTCAGCCTAGCCTGTCTCTGGGTTGGGTCGGGGTTACTTGCTTTCTTTCCCTCCGGGTCCAAGGGTCCTGGCTCCTTTCTCTGCTCTCCCACAGAGTGGCGTATAATTAGAGTTAATAGTCTAAACCATAATGTATCCTCCAGGAGGGGCCGTTTGGAAAATCCAGGATTAGGCCAGCCCTAATAGGCGCCTCATCTCATAAACCAGCTAATCACCCCACAACGATGGCTGCAAGTCCATCTGCTGGCTCCCACGGGCCTCACCGAGCCCCTGCCTCCCCACCCAAATAACTTCCCTAATTGGGCTGGAGTGGAAGCAAGGGCCTTTTCTTAGCCTAGGAGAAACAGCCTAGGAGGGCAGGGAGACAGCCCGGTCAACTCTCCCGAGTCTACGTCGTCCCCTCCCTTCTTGTCTTTTTAAAGCAAGTGTGTGCACGCGCGCACACATCCACACACACACACACACTCGGGCTCAGGCTCCCCAGAAGCACCCATGTGGCAGCCAGCAGGCCCAAGTGATAAGTGAAAGGATCCTTATTGCTGATCCTGGGCAGCTGCTTCTCCCCCATCTGTCACTGCTGGAACTGAGAGGCGAGTTCCAGCTGGGAACATCTGCTTCACAGGCTCCAGCTGCAGCCATGGCAATGTGGCTAATGAGCTGTACGTTAACCACCCACGTGTTGACCGCCAGACCCCCACCCCATGCCTTCCACACAGGCCTTCTCCTAGGAGCAGGCTCTGGTGCCTTCTTTATTCTGACTATATGGCCTTTCACACACCCCGTGCAGATCTTTGAACTCCCAAACACAGTGCAGAAATGTGCACCTCACAGCAGCTTAAACTTCTGCCCCACCCCACCCCAATTCATAATTAATGGTCTTTTTACTAGCCTTTTCTCAGAGCTTGGAATAGGGATGACGACCCCTGCTTTATCATGAGCACAATCTCAGGGAAAGTGAACTTTCTAAGGACCTCAGTCTCCATCAAAGTGTGAGGTCACAAACAAAAATGTCAATGGAGTATTTTATTGAATTTGAGAACTTCGTTCTTAAATTCATCTGGCAGAGAAAATACTTTAAAATGGTTGAAAATGGTGTTTTTGAAGAAGAGGAACAAAATGGGAGACTTGTCCAGCAGCTCTCTGAACATCAACTATAATTAAAACACGTGGCATTGCATAAGAGAACACACACAGGTCAATGACACGAAATACAGTCCAAAAACAAACCCATATCCATGACATTTTAGTCTGTGATAACATTGGAATTGCAAATCAATGTGGAAAGTATCAGTCAGTCAGTAAATTGACAATTGGATATTCATAATTCTTTTAAAAAACTAGTGAGTAAAGAAGCCAGATTCCATATGGCCAACCATGGTTGGAGTCCCAGCCCCAGCCTCAGCCCCAATAGCTTAAAAAACACCAGGCACATATGTATGCACTCCCCAATGGGATGGAGAAATGGTGGAGAGGGGTCGTGGCAGACCCTGAAGTGCTTTCTCTCTTTCTCTAGAGAGCACATATGCCTTTTAGTAAAACACAAAATAGAAGATAAAGCTCCATCCTTACTTCACACTATACACACAAAAACAGTAAATTCTAGGGAGATTAAAATTCAAACCTAAATGGAACCAGCAGATGGCATAACGGTTATGTCACTGGACTCCCACATGGCTGACCACGGTTCAAATCCTGGGCCAGGGAGCTTCAAATTCATGCCAGATGTGTGTGTATGCATGCTCAAAATACCACGAGGAGAAAGGAGGAGGGACTGCAGCATCGCCATCCCCTTGAGGAATGATTTCTCACTTTTTTTCTCTCTGTCTCTCTCTGTATCTCTGATGAGTATACTTGCCCTATAGCAAAATTCCCTATTTAAAAAAAAAAATTAAGCCTAAAAATCGAACCTATGAAAATTAAGGGCCACAGGTGGCATGGTGATTAAGGTGCTGGACTCACACATGATTGAATGCATTTTGAGTCACAGACCTGGTGACTTGCTTCCTTGCCCCCCCCCCATCTCTGGTGAGTGAATATGCCCTGTACCAGATTTAAAAAGGATAATAATAAAAATAATTAAGTTAAATAAATAATTCTTTTTAAAAAAATGACAAAAATGTGTCTTGACAGTAGGACTGACAAAAAGTAAAAAGATCGTTGCTATTCAGCAGTGAGGAGCTTTTGAGAAAATGAGCTTTCTTGCATTGTTGGTAGAAGTATAGATTGATAAAGCCTTTCTGGAGGACAATTTGGCTGTATTTTACAACATTTGTAGTTTGTCTAGCCTCTGATATAACAGTTCTACAGAAATCCTACATTAATCTGTACATGGTTTCTTAAAAACAAACCAAAAAACTAGAAGCTACCTAAATGTCCAACGGTGGGTGAATGATTAAATAAATTAATAATATTCTGCCTATACAGTGGAGTCCTATTTACAGATTGCTAAAAAAGAGTTAGATGGATGGATGGATGGATGGATGGATGGATGGATGGATGGATGGATGGATGGATGGATGGA